CATGTGGGCTGGGGCCACTTCTGGGGCTAAAACAGAGAGTGGTGGGGAGGGGGAGACACACTTTGTGCCAGACAAGGCAGTTACAAAGCTGGCCCTAAGTCCAGCCACTTTTCACCTCACAATATGTCTTCTTTGGGTGCAACAGTCTTAAAGCAAGCTAATCATATAAAATAAAAATACTGAGTCTGGATTTCTGACCCATTCCTAAAGCAGGGCCAAGAGTGCAAACAAAGGAAATGGTGAGGAGTTACTTACATCCATGGAGTAATGCTCAATCTGATAGATGGTGGTCAGCCCCTGGGTCGTGAAATAATCCACACAGGATGAGCAGCCCAACCTCGCTAAGAAGCTGCAGAGGAGGAAGGAAGGAAGGAGAAAGAAAAAGGATCACCCTGGCTGCAACAGCCCAAACCACAGAAAAACCAAACACTCAGCCAACCTGCAGCAACAGGAAACAAAGCTTTCACCCTTGGCTTGACCTTCTCCAAGACATCCCAGGCCAGCAAGCCTCATTGCTGCCATATCAAACAAATGAGGGAGTCCTTCAGCTCAGCACCTAGCAAACAACCCTTTTGGCAGCACATTGCCTTAGTCAAGAGCCAGTGCTGCATAGCCTGGATCTTGGGGCAGGAAGGCTCACATGGGCCATCCTGCCAGGTCACTTCACCCAGAAGGTGGCTGAGCCCATGGCAGCCTGCTGCATGGATAGAGGGTTCCAGCAAGACAGTGGGTCTGAGGCTCAGACACATCATGCACACGAAGTACATCAGGTCAGCACATTCCTCCCTAATCGTAAAGGATTCCTCCTTTATGGGCAGCATCTTTCAACCTGTTTGACCTCATGGAGGGCAGAGGAGCTTCTGAACCCATCCATGGCTTGTCTCGGGTGGTCAAAGGGGGGGAAAAAGGAAAAAAAAAAAAGAAAAAAAATGTTTGCAAAGACTGCCTGGTACCCTCAGCTCCACCAGTCCAACAGATGCTGCATCGCTTGGCTTCTTGCAGTCCTCCTAATGTCCCTGTTTCTCTCAGCTGCTCAGAGGTGGGGATTGGTGCCTAGAGGGTGCCAGCCCCAGGACTGCCAAGACCCGCTGGGATCCAGTGCTCCAGGAGAACAGGTCAAGGGCCCTGGCAGGACCCTTCAAGACCCCTGACACGAGGCTTCCGCTCCCTGCGGGTGGGAAATGTGCGCTGGACAGCCTGCTCCCGCTCACCTGACGATGCTGCAGTCTGTGGGGTACGGAGGAGGGGGGGTGCAGTGGGACGTTGAAGGCATGGAGAGGGGAGGAGGCAGCGCCTGCGTGGGGCTGAGGCCATTCATGTCACCGGTCATGGCCATGTGGGTGCCCATCATGGGAACTGGAGGAGAGAAGTAGGAGCACATTGTTACCCAGGCATACCTGGACCCCCGCTTCACCCCCAGTACAGCACCCAAAGGACAGCACCCACTGACAAAGCAGCTTTAAATCTTCTGCAAAGCCCTGCATGGAGCAAGCTCAAGGGGAATTCCAAGCAGGGCTGCAATCTGCACAAGGACCAGATGACAGACAGTCCTTCAGGAGCTCTCCCCTCGCTGGAATAACTGTCAGCGGCAGCACTGCCGCATCACCTTCCCTTAGAAGCAGGCTCAGTAGAAACCTAAGCAACTAAGTGAGCCTCATCTCAGCTTTCCCTGCCGCAGGAGGGGAGTAGGACAGAGCCAGCAGTGTAACCCAATACAGAAGCCAAATAGCTTTGTTTTCAGAGGCACTGAGAGCAGCCGAAGGGGATCAGCAACAGGTGTGGGCAAGGGTCCAGTGCTTTTGAAATTAAAAAACAGGGGCACCAAAACTCAGCCCCCAGAACCATGTCTGTCATCCTGGATTTACAGGGCTGCTGGGCACTCTTCAGCAGCCAGGAGGAAGCAGGTTACAGAGCTGCGAGATGCAGATATTTCCTTTGAAACCAAGACATGTCTTAATTGAACTGAGGGGAAAAAAATGTTTGCCAACATTTGCATCTCTGCTGGGAAAGGAAGAAAAAACAAGTCTTGAAAGACAGATGACAGTGCAGTCAGCCAGATGTGCAGCAAGAAGCAGCTCTGTTCATCTCTGTGAGGCTTACAGCAGGATGCTGCCCTGTGGCACAGCAGTGAGCAGTATTTGGCTCTGCATGTTTCCAGCAACTACTCCAGGCTCCCCAGCCTAACACTACCTGGTTGGAGATGCCAAGTCTCCTTGCCCAGACTAGTGGGGAGCACACATAAAACAGCAGAAGAAGCAGCAAGGGTTTCTTACTGTTGGTTCCCATGCCGTCAGGGATGGTGGTTGGGGTCAGGGCATTGCGCTGCTGGGGGTTAATTAGCTGGCTGACCGAGGGCAGCTTGTTCATGCTGTTCATTTTGCTCAGTGGTGGAGAGTTGGAACCGTAGGATGACTGCGACTGCATGGAGGTCCTGCAAACCAAGGAGATGTTAGGACAGGAATCACAGCAGTTGGTTGTTAAGAGTACGAACCCAATGGGCTATGTTTGCTGTTTGTGACAGTGGTGACCTGCTAATGAAATCACTGACACTCTAGGAGCATCACAGATAAAGATCATTGGAGAGAGAGTAAACAGTAGTAAATAAGAAGTTTCCCAGATAGGCTGGACATTTATAAAACAAATCATGAAACGCTGACAAAGGGAAGCTTCACTTCCAGTTCAAATTTTTTATTTAAGGAAAGGCTTCTGAGGCTTTCAGTTGAAAACAACGTAAGCAAAGCCAGCAAACAGCTGTCAAAAACCAGAATGCTCATTTTTAAGTTAAGCTTTCCTTGTGGTCAGACTTTTTCATTAGAACAAGAACTAAGGAAACCATCACAAACCATGGTAACTACACCTATAACCTGACTACAGAAACAATTTTCAGATTGGGTCACATTTATTACCTTGGTTTCTCCAAAATTCCTATTTATTCATGTAATCAGATTGTTATCAGGCATATGTGTAACTGCCAGAGGCTCTTTGCTCGACAAACTCCATACACCTTAGGGACCACTGCTGAGATGGCCAGAGCTGCCTAGGACACTAACATACAGCTTCTGCTGGTATTAAGGAGAACCTGGTATCCAAACCCTACAGGCTGCTTGCAAAGAGTATCAGATTCCAACCACTCGACAAAAGCAGTAGCCTTCCTCAAGTCCTGACAGCCCCAAACTCCATCCAGTATATCTGTGAACCGGGCTAAAGAGGATTGCTGGTGAGCTCCCCCCCTACCCAGCCCCAAGGGTCCCAGCTGCAATCCTGCCTTGTGAGTGATCCAGAGTGTGAAGACCAGACTGCTTCTGAACAGCAGCCCAAAAGATCAAGTTACGGCTGTGGCATCCCATCTGGAGTGGGGTCTTACTTGGGATATGCAGAAAATTATCATTAAAACGGGTCCAGTTGGCAGATCACCACCCTGCCACAAGAGAGCAGTTTTTTCTCTCTCTGACACCCGGGGCATTTGCAAGACTAGGCAAAGCTGCTGGGGAAGCAGGCATGCTTCCCACACACAATGTACCTACACAATCCATGCTTGTCCAGCAGAGCAGAGGTTGCCCAGCTCACGACAGAGCCTGGCACTTGTTCATGCGTATCGCTGTGACCCCCCAGAGAATGTGCAAGGGTGCATTCCCATCTTATTTCCCATTGGAAAACTTGTTTGTCTGGCTATAACTGGTTACACCAATTCCTGAGAACTGGCTTTCCTTCTATGCAAAGAGAATAGTTATTACTTCAAATAAGCAAAGTGTAAAAGGAAAGAAATAGCTTATGCCTAGATAATTTATTAAAACCTGCAGCACTCAAGGTCAAGTTTCATACAATTACATTGTCTCCAGCTTCCTGCACTTTTAAGACTTGCAGCATTAGGCGGAGAAAACATCTATGCTAACAGGGTAAAATATCTAAGGCCCTGAAGAAATGTTACCTAATTACACAATTACAGGAGGTACAGAAGGGTGTGAACTGTCCTTTGGCAGTGAAGATGCAGGACAAGATCCAGCAAACTTCATAGACTCAAGGAAGTGGAAAGCACAAGAAGGTTCACAAATTAATATTAATGATGGCAGCAACTCCCAAGGGGAAGTGAAACTGAGCCATGAAGTTCAGACCCAACTTTTCAGGGTAAAGAGAATGATTCAGATCTGAGGTTTCAATTCACCAATTATGAAAGCTGAGGCCAGCCATGAAATTCAAGTCAGGTTTGACACCACCCTTAACCTCAGAGGCTTCTGGATTAAGGACCAGAATGAGTACTTCTAATTTACAGGTTCAGGCACTTATCTTAACTGAGCTTCAGCTGAATTTAATACATATCTAAGTAGTCTCTTAGGGCAGAATCTGCACGATATGCAAGTGAGGTGAAATTCCAAATCAAAGACTTCCCAAAAAAGATTTAGTTGCATTGCTCAAGCTCAGGGCAGATTTTATTCAGAGAGCTCCTGACTAGAAACATTTCTTTTTGCCAAGGATGCCTGTTGCTGAAACAAGATTCTCCAAGGAGGTCAGTAGTGGGCTTAACTTTGTCATCTCCACTAACACTGATCTCAGCAAAGCTAGTTAGAAGACTAGAAAACACTCTGGGGATTTAAAATGAAAGGTCAAGCAAACACAAGCCAAACCAAAGCAATCTACACTATAGGAAACAAATGCATACTTTAACATACAGCTTAAGGACTCCACTCTTATTCACACTCATAAGAATCAAGATTAAGACAATCAAGTTCAAGTGAATAAAATGGGAAACAAAAGCATTTTTCTTCATATCCATGCTCATTTCAACTCAACTATTCCATCACATGAGCAGACGTGTAAAAGGTCTGGAGAAAGCCATCTAGTCAAAGAAAAGTCCCAAGATAAACCAAGATGCAAAATTTTATTGAAAATGAATGTCACACATCAATATAGCAACAGCCTCAGAAACACAAGAAAATGGTTTGGTATTGAACACACAGACTACATGGTGTTTGAGGATTTTTTTTTTTCCTCCTTTTTTAAAAAAAAAAACAGGTATTATAAGAGTATCATGCACGGTGATTTTCATTAAAGTTATACTTACTATGTCTCAAGAAAGATTAGAAATAGGAGCATTAACATTTCTTTGATATCATTGCCAATGAAATGCATTTTAATATCAAGGTATAAGGACTTCAATTAAGAGACTATTAAAACTTCTTGGAACAGTCTGATATGAAAGGCACTGAGTCACATTCTGCAACTGATATTTCTCCCTTCAAGAGGCTATGTAATTATTTAGCCAATAACATTTGTAGTTATGCAAGCTCATCTGAGGGCAGTCGCCTGTGATGCTTCAAGGCATATAGTGATCACCTCAAGAGGTAAGGAAGGAAATTTCTTTTCCCACATAAGAAGCACAGTTCAGGTGAGAAGCTACTTTATGTAATTCTGCACTTTCCCAGCTTACTGGATATCAGCCCTTCACCAGAGGTAGGAAACTACTTGGATAGACCAATTACCTGATTCAGTAGACAAGTCCCAGACTCCCCATTCACATTAGATGAGTACACCATCATGTAAGCAGCCTTAATGCAAATTAAGGTCCACTAAGAATAGGGCAGCTGAGGCTCAGAGCATTTAAGATTTCATCCAAGCCCTTGTGCTTACATCCCTGAAGACCTAGAGCTAGTCACAATGCAGAGAGACCCAAGTAGAATCAAAGCTGTCCAGTTCTGGGCTTGCCTTTCCTTACCCTAGCCACAGAGGGAGCAGCAAGGATTACATCCCAAACTGACACATGGTCAACATGACCGTCCATAACATTTTTTCATGTAAGGTTGCCCGCTAGGCTGCGTAACACTGGGATGTCACTGATGTGGCCTAGTAATGGCACACAAGTGACACAGATGAAGCTGAGTTGCACTTACCCGCTTTGAAGGCCCATGAAGTGAGACACTAAAAAGCAGAGCAATGCCCTTGCTCTCCACATCTCTAATAGCTGCTATTCTAAAGCAAGCAATAGTGCATCTTTAAACCACGCAAGTGATTTGTAGACTTGGGACAAGCTATTGTGTAAATGGGATCATGGAAAGGAGGAGCACTGATGGTCACTAGGCACATAGTAAATACCGCACAGGGGCAAAGGTGGCAATAATGACTCCTCTTAGATTTCAGGTATGGGAATTTCCCATGGCATGCAGCAGATGCAATCTGCTTTCCAGGAAATGGAGCTATAATACAGGGAGTGGATATGCATCAACTATGCGATATGATATAACCTCACTGACTGATAAGGTCCTATTATTCCACTCTATTACTCCTTGAAAAGAAAAGCTTTTCCAAAGGACCCGAGATGACAAAGAATTAATCAAAAGACAGCTGGGAAAAAGTTTTCTTCTTTTACCTGCAGAAGACCAACTATGAAGTAACTCCAATCACTTCCAGCTTCATGTTATTTGATGAAAAAATAAAGTACCTTCTAAGATAACCGCTTTGTAAGCTGGAGAGCACATTAAGTCGCCATTAAGACCAGCTTCATTATCATCATCCTCTTATAGGTAGGGAGGACAAATTGGAAAGCCCTTTCAGAGAGCAGTAAGCTTCAAATAATTTATTCTTATTTGGTGGAAGTCTCAGGTGCTCTATTACCCATCATGGTACAAAGATTTCCCAGAGGTCAGACCAGACGATGAACTGGAGCATGAGCTAGAATCTCCCTGCAGTGGCTGTGGACATCTTGTACCTTTTGGTGGGCTGCCTTCTCAAACTTGCTGGTGGACAGCCTGTGGAGCAGAGATCTAGATACAGGTTTATGTGTGTTTGTTGCAATATTTCAGTTTTGCCATCCACAAGCAGAGACCCAAGATCCAGGAATAAGCCTTCATTGGAAGGACAGATTGACAATGCCATAATCCTGCATCTGGGCTGCATTCGCAGTTCAGGTTCTCACCTCTCAGAAGAAGGAATAGCCTTTCTTCTCACGAATAAAAAAAGCACAGAGCAATAGTTACCTGCTTTGTAATTTTAAAGTCCATCCTGGGGTTTCCAGGCAAAGTAGAGAGGTACTTGATTTGGTTAGCTTTACACAAGGAACAATGATAGAGCTGCAACTGTATGAAAAAAAAAAAATCACTACTAGCGCTTAACTAGTTATTATTTATACTAAATCACGATTCTGGGGGGGTTTCTCCATCAGCCCTCCCCCATACTTCTATGGTAGAACAAGTCTTGCTAAGACAATGAAGGAGATATCCAGAGATGTGATACGGCTCCCAGAGATGATGTTAGTACGAGTCATCACCTGCTCAGATCACAGCTCTGCTGCCTGGAAGCAGATGATGTGATGTTCAGAGATGAAAGTGTTCTCCCACTGTATCAGGCTTTTTTCATTGGTGGGTGGCCAGGGGGCTCACTCTGCATTTGGGAGGCACCTTCTCTTCAGGCTGTACCTAACCACAAGTGTATCAGAGCTGGGCACACACCTGCCCCAAATAAATCCAGTATCGATTCCACTGCAGGCACACAGGTTCTCATCAGTATCAACCTAGCCCCCTGTATTTCTCAGGGGCCGCTGATCACTGACATTTGTGACCAAGCTCTTATCTTCAAACATTGCTGATCTGGGTATACACAAGCTCACAGGGGACATCATTCCTGGTGTACCTTCAGTAAGTTCTTCACATTACGGGGACATCATTCCTGGTGTACCTTCAGTAAGTTCTTCACATTACTGTTTCCTGCGGCCATGAACACGAGGGTTTCTCAGGAGAGACGCTACTGGCTGAAAACGTGGGTTGAAAGACACTTCTTTACCAGCATTAAGGGCTATTGCTCATGCAAGGGTGTTTGAGCACCTCCCAGTGGGGAAAGCCCCAGCAGGGATCATTCCCACTCTCAAACAGCTCCTCCCCCATCACCAGTATCCACACCTAGTGCCAGGGTAAGTCCATGGCATGTTCCTTGCATGTTGATCATTTCTCCTTTGTGCTAGTCTGAGCTTGACACAGAAATGAAGTTTCCAAATGGTTAAAATCCTCCTTGTTACGCTCCATACAAATGATTTTCAGAGGTGAAGTCTGATATAAGCATTGCAAGGATTTACAAGTCCTTGCTGAAAAAGTCTTCTGTGCAGGAATTGCTAAGCGAGGATGCACTTCATGTACACAATAAGCAAAAGCCACTGGTTGCAGGATTAATGGACAAGGTGGGCATGGCCTGAGGCATATGCTGGCACTGCTTTCCCTTTGCAGTATGAGGTTTGTAGTGATGGAGTAAAATGCAGTATGGTTGATGAAAACTCTAAGGCAACATCTAATAACTGCTGAACATCTGCAAGGAAAGGGTCAAGCTCAAACCTCTTTTCACAGGTAGGGCAACAAGCAGTGTTTGACACTGCCCTTTACATCCTCATCTGCAAAGGGAGCAGGGACTCATGGATGTCATAACACGGAAAGACTTCAACCTCACACTCAACCTGTGCAGCTCAGCCCACTTAGATTGAGCCCACAGCGTCAGGAAGGACTTTCCTAAACTCAGCAAAGCTGGATGACTGCCGGGGCTGCTGGCACAAAGTCAGTCACCCAGTCTTCCCTACAATTTTCATGTCAGAGTCAGACCCTTTAAGATTAGAATTAAGGGGAAACAATTTGTGATGCCAAATTAGTGGGCATTTCTACAGAAAAAAAAACAACAAAAAAAATGGATTTCTTACCAGTGCCAATTCATATAATTATTACCTCCTGTCCAGCAGTACAAATACTTCAGCTACTTGTACTATTACTGCGTGATTGGCATTAAAACAGGCCAAATTGACTATCACAGACTGTTTAAACAGCACCCCTCTTCTACCCCACACCCCCGCCCATAAACACATTTTTAAAAGTTAAACAAGACAAGAGGCATTTTAAAATTGAGACCTGCTCAGAGAAACACCGCTGAGTTTCACAAATACAGAAGAGGAAAGAGTATCAACACTTTACAAAAACAGGAAGAAAACATTACATCAGGACAGACGACAGTGTGGTTCCTGATCTCCCAATGCTATGGGCTACAGCTAAAAGGTCTGTACAAACGTCTGTTGTTTTTGCAAATTTTGAGTCCCTTCAGAATATTGCTCTATTTACTCTGTTGCTGTCAGGTTGTGTATTTGCCCCACTGTTCCTAGTCCTGCCAGCTGGGCAAAGTGACCCCACCAGCTCAGTTTATGGATATACTGATGGGTTTGGGGGGCTGGAATGTTTTAGGATGGCATCGATCTGTTTGGGAGGGTCTCTCCTTGAGTCCGTGAGTTCACTCCTGAAGCAGGCCGAAAGGAGACTGTAGAGAAGGAACCAGAGAAAAGAAAAAGATGAATGTACAGGACCTTTCACCAGCCACCAAGAGAGAAACAGTCAGTTTCCACCTTCATGATCACAGTATGGGCTTTGAAGGAAAGGAAAAGCAGATGCCTTAGCACCCACAGTGAGGATATGTGACAGGGAGATTTAGAAAGCTGGAAAGCCCCAGGTACAAGTGAGTGCTTGGCAAGAAAAAAAAAAAGGAACTAGTTGATAGGGAAATCTGATTTCTGTGTCCCTGTCTCATGCTAGCTAATGGTGTGTTGATACAGTTCCCAGTAAAAAGTACGAAAGGCAAAAAAAAGCACTCAGCCAAAGGGGAAAAGGAGAGAAGTGGCTTCCACTGAGCCCACTTCAAACTTCAATTACTTAAAACCCAGAAGCTGGTGCTAGGGAGAAAGGATGGTGCTTTCTGTTAAAGGGCCATATCGATTACATCTCAAATACTCTCTTTTTCAAAGCTGAGGGACCCTCTGCACTAAAGCCAAGGGGTCTGTAGGGCTGCCAGCTGATGCAGAAGGCACTGCTCCCTCAGAGACAGCAAAGCAAATGCAGCATGTCTTCATAAACCTAATCCCCCACTTTTTCTTGCTTACTTTCATCTTTGCAATTCTCTAGTGAGAACACTATCTAAACGCCTGCAGTTCACAATGCATGCAACCACAGCACTATAAAACCAATATAAAACCAAACCAAATCGTGCAAAAATCCACTATTAGCTTCCACACCAAGAATGAGAATAACTAGGTGGAGGCATAAAGAACACCTTCCCCACCAGACCCCCTCCCCGTGACTGCAAATGTGAGGATCCTTGTAGCAACCATCTCACTGGAACACTCCAGGCTGAATAACTCAGCTATGTCATACCTCACACTCAGGAGGTTAATTCCTTCTCATTGGATAATGAGCTGTGCTACTCACTAGATTGAAAGGCAGACAGTGAGCTGATAGCTGCTGATAGAAGAGAAACATTTGCTGGGACATAAGATCCTACTTGGACGTAAGAGCCCTCTTCTTTGGAGCCATTTGAAGACTTTGCAAAACCCCTTCAATCATGGGAGTTGGACTTGATGATCCTTATGCATACCTTACAACATGAAATGATTTATGATTTTATGCTATGACAAAGAATTGAAATAAAGACTGTCAACAGTGCTCAGAAGTGTGAAACCCACCAAGGAAATTTTGCTGTGTATGAAAAAGCATCTTCCAGTGAAACCCTTAAAGGCTGCGCAGATACTCCCTGGGAATATTGATGGTAATCGTATTTCACAGCAGTCTATCGAAGAAGACTTTCATGCACAAGCCACCTCTGGTACCTCTGGCAGCAGGGATCTTCTGGCAAATAGGTGTTTAAAACAAATGGAGGCAGACCATGAAAAGTCCAAATAAATGTGTGTGCTGTTGTTCAAATATGGGCCCCAGGATTTGGGAGTGAAAATGGAAGAATAGAAACTGCAGCAAAAAAAAAAAACAAACTTCCCACCTATGATCATGAAGGTATTCAGCATAACAGTAAATGCAAGAAAACCATGCACAAAGGAGCAAACAGAGAGAGGAGATGAGACAGAGAAAGATGTGAGGTCCGGCACAACATGGAGCATTACAGTATTTTGGTCATTTTGTGGGACACAGAGCTTTTAGGTTATTGCTAGGTTTGCCTTTTTTAGTCCAGAACAGTAAGACTGTTGCATCTGCTGACCTGCCAAATGCAATGCTGGTCTGTACGTGCATGAAAGCAATTATACAGTTGTTTTCCAAATGACAGATTTATCTTTTTAAACCTACTTTCACCATGATTTCATCCTTATTTTTTCTATGTTTTTAAAAAGATAAATCTTTCCATGTTGTAGGAACAAAATGGAAACATTCCTCCATCAAGGCTTGAGTGTGGAGCACTGTAGTGCAGCTCCATTTTGAGAAGAAAGAGACACAGGCAACTCGCAAACTTCCCATCCCCAGAGAGCTCTGCTAGTACCTACAGGTTCCTACACATTCAAACTTGGTCACTGCGTATTTACTTTCCTAGCTCCCAATTTTAACACATACTTTGAATGAAAGAAATCAGACTGAATTTTGAAAATATATCCCTACTTACAAAGTGAAAGGCATTTTCTTTTAAAGCCAGAATAGACTTGCAAAGGCGTCACTGTGCTGCTGAGTTTTACTAGCTTGACAAGCAAGCAGTGGTAGTACATCTCCCAGCAACCTATTCACATTTAAGGTTGCTCTTACCCAAACCAGTTGCCACAAAATGTCTTCTCTCCCCATTCTCATGTTGAGACCTAAAGCTCATTTACAGTTCTTTTCTGGGGTGGAATGGTGTCTATGAGTCTTTTCAGCCTAAATGCCCCTTCGCCCTGAACACATTCCTTCAGAACTTATGTCAAACCATGGATTATAGAGGAAAAAGCACCAGAACCCAACTGCAGCTATGTAGCTATTGCCTGAACATGCATTGATGCTTGATGGCAAGCTGTCAGCAGTTACAACTGCAGCACCTCTGGACAAACACTCAAAGTTATTTTCCTCCCCACTTCTGGTATCTTTAAGAGCTCTTAATCTTTCTCCCCAGTGTCTGAGCATACTCAGCAGCTGAGAAAAATGAGTATATAACTGGACAAGTGCCAGGAGACATGCCGAAAGAAGTTTCATTAAATTAAATGGGTGGACTTACACATGCTGGACTTAAAGATAATACAAATACCAACCTCAGTTGCCAGGAACCCATCCTATTGATATAGGAAGAATGAAAACAGTAATTATGGCAAAGCAACTGTCAGCACCAAGGGAAAGCAGTCATCTGCTGCCATCCATTTCTGCTTACAAAACCATTTCTCAACTGAGATGGCTGTAGCTCAGGTGGAGCTTTGAAGACACGCAGCCAGTGCACAAAGGCGGCAATGCCTAGGAGCTAGTAAATACAAGCTATTGTATAAACAAACAGTGCAGATGACTGATAAAAATAATGATAATTTTAAGTGCCCTGAAAATTATCCAGAGCCTCTGGACGCTCCAGCCATTTTGGCACAAGGCTTTTTTCACACCTCCACAAGACTCCAGCTGACACTAAATACACAGGTTGAAATGTGAACACATGCAGAGATCTGGCAGAAAGCCGTGGCATTGCAGAAGTCCTGAGACAAGGCCAAGGCACCAAAATAAATCCCTACAGGCTCGTGGGACTTATGTGGTGCCTTGGCCCCCTGCTAACCTCTGCAGAGAATGAGTTATACCCGCAGCCTCCTGACACGTGAGCTTACCAGCAGGAACGTGTGAGATCCTAAGCACTACCGCTGGCGGCTACCTACAGCCTGGGTGGCTATTTTCTGTCACCTGATATGGCAGGTGAAGCAATGCCCACAAGCGACACCACTTACAGTCTGTCTGGGAAGTCATTCTCTGACCCAGTGTCTGCAACTGCAAAGCTTTGGGAACAGAGGGGAAAATGGAAACCAGACACTTATTTGTCTCTTCTTCTTCTCCCCATCCTCCTGGCACTTACACCACCCAAAGCAATCCTGGCACAGCTCTACCAGCTGAGTTCAGATAGGGCCTATATCTGCCTGGGTGGAAAGTTTTCATGTGCAATGTGGAGAGTCACTGACAAAGTGCAATTTCTAAAAACACTATAAAACTGCACATATAGAGTCTTTCTTTGAAGATCCTACTGGTCACAAATGTATTATGTGTTTGGCTCCCAACTTTCAGCTTCCTGTTTTACAGCTGAGGAACCTACAGCATTTATATCCCACTGAGACACCAGCCTTCCAACAGCACGAGGGATACACAACAGCAGGGTTCAAGCACTCGGCCAAGCTGGTGCTCACACTCCCAGCTCCATGTGCTCCTGGCAAGATACCCAGATGGACACCCTGCAGAAGCAGCACATTTGCTGCTGTTCCTGTGGACCAGACAAGAGAAGAGCGCACCCCGTCTGTGCTCCCCAGCTCAGGTGTGCACAGGCAGCTGGTTTCTGTGTGCAGGTTGTTCAGTAGCACTGCCTTGCTGCACTGCACAGTAGGCTCTGGCTGGAAGTCAAGAACGAGGCACTAACCTGCCATTCACCTTCCAAAGCCAAAAAGTGAACTGCACGGGACAAGAGACTAGAGGGGGACCTTGAAAGCAGTCAGGACATGTGCCTGGGAAATGAGGCCTGCTTTGTCCTACTGCACAGGTCATGAAATCTGGATCTCAAACTCCGAGTCTCTCAAGTTCTGTACAGAAACTCGGCTTTGGCTAAACTGGCATCAATTTCTACCAGCTCTGACCACAGAATTAACAAGCAGCTATGCTGTTGGAAAAGATTTTGACAGTGTGGTACTATACTGCACTGCAGTAGAAGTGCTCAGCCCTCAGTTGAGCACCACATCCCTACCTCCAAGTGTGCAGAAGCCTTCTGTGTCTCTCTCCTCTCTCCCTCCTCCCCACCACCCTCACTGCAAGCACACTCATACTCACTGCTTCTGGAGCAAGTGCTGGTGCTGCTGCTGCTGCTGTTGGCGGTAGGTCTCAATCGTGTGCTGGGGAAGGTACTGCATAAGTTCCAGGGACTCTTTGATCTTTAGTAGCATTTCATAGGTCTCACGTCCCCTCACCTGGATCATGGGAAAAGGGGGGTGGGGAGAAAGCCTTAAAGGACTGCATCTATAGTTCTTAGTGACAGCCACCTTAGTGAGCTTTAGGTACAGTCAAGTAAACAGCCATTGCAGGATGAAAATACCCTGTTTATACACAATGATATACAACAAAGCCTTGTTGCCACAATGATATGCAACAAAACCTTGTTGCTAAACCTTGTGCTAAAGGTAAAGCAGATAATGTTGAAGAGTGGCAATCTGACACTGAAGGTTAGTGAACATCTTGTGTTTGTCATCTGGCACAATATAAATCTATGCCAACCAAAAGCAATATTCTGATCCAATCCATTAGACAGAAAACATCTTTAGCTGTCTCAGATGTAAGCAGATCTTTTGCTGAATCTTACACGCATTAAGGAAAATGAGTACTTGAATTTGGGTGCTGGGTTTGGATCTCCCTTCTCCTGCAGGAACACCATGGTTGGTTGTGATTTACCCAACTAAATGTGGCTCATGGGAAAGCAGCTAAATGGCCAATTACAGATGCTTCTTGCCCTTTCTGATCCTACACAATACAGCATATTTCACTTCTGTCACTACATTACAATGGCAATACATACAAAAGCCACAGAAGCATCCACCTTGGTCAGTAAGACAGCACCCATTATCTCTAGAGGAAGTGCCACAAATCCAGAAATGACAGAGGAGGAAACCCAGTTAGGTCTCCAAGGCAATTTTTCCACCAGGACAGACAGATCCCTTGGGATATTCTCATATGCCTTGCACAAGCCACTGTCAGTCAGCAGCTACTGGAAGTTTTTGTATTTTTTGTTTGGAACATGTATTTGAAATAGATAGCTCAGAGGATTAAAAAAAAAGTAATACAAAAATCTACATCCAATCCTCGGTTCTCTTTGAGGTCTAGGTAAGCCATTGACTTGCCTCAAGTCACAGAGGAAAATACTAAACAAAGTAAATGCAAAAACAGGGAGAACTCACTGGCAAGTATAAGAGCTCATCATCTGGGGAACGTCTTTTTTTGATAGATGTCATCTGTATGCCATGAGTTCCTTGTCGAAAAGCTGGAAGACAAACCCCAAAAGCATCCCATTAAAAAAGGGGGAAGGAAAGAAAAGAAAAAAAGGGGGGAGGGTTGTGTGTGGAGAAATAAAAATTAAAAAAATTAAAAAATAATAAAAAAGGAGATACAAGAGAGACATAAAAGTCTCAGATCTGCAGTGCTCTGGAAAGATCTCTGCCCAAGACACTCCAGAACTCTTCTTGCAGCTTCTGGCTCCAAAAGGCAGACATGACTTTGTGGATGCTTGGGAAAACATCAGCCAAGGAGCACTGGATATATGGCAAAACCCCCAGAAAGCCGTACCTAGAACAAGCCCTGGCTCTTTGCAGGAAAGACTTCGAGCTTTCACATAAGAGTGCTCAGGAGCTGTTTGGTGGATCAGTGATCCATGAAGACAAGACAACAGGCAGGGAGCATGCAGAATTCACTGCAAAAGCAAAGCCCCCTCTCCAATCTAGCCTCATTCAGCCTAGTACCTCGCTAAGCATATGTGGGAAACCAAAGATAGTGTTCCACATTGCGCTGTCTGATGAGTACATTGCACTCTTTAGAGCACAGAGCGAGTTCACTTGCCAGAGCACCTCCAATGCACAGGAAGGTTTATATGCAAGCTTAATCTAGATCCCTGTGGCTGGAAGACACATGCCACAGCATGAGACGCTGGCTAGAAGGAGCAGAGAATGACAGTGCAGTCCCAAACAAGCAGTAAAGGTTCAAAAAGTGGTTACAGAATCCCAGCCATGAAACTTTAGGGTGGCAAATAAACACCCCATCCCTCCACTGCCGGCAAGTCTCATCTAACACAGGGAGTGCTGCAAGGGAGACCATAAACCCATCTTGTGAGCACCAGCTCATTTTTCAGGTTGATTGACCCTGGGAGAACAGATGTCTAATGCCCTCCTGCCTCCAAGCCCATGCACAGCACCGCACATCCCCACAGCACAAGAGCCAAGGTCACACCTGCACCCACGATTTGCAATCTGCCCAGCTCTGCCAGCTACTTACGGCGCTTCGTACCATCACCATTCTTTGTGCTGTCAGAGACTTGCTGCTTGCGGATGCTGTCCTCATCTGCTTTGCGGTCTCTGCCTGGGCAAGCGCAAATGCGGGCTTCGAAACATCGGCGGCCCAAGACTTGCCCACTGGGAAGAGAGGTGAGAGGAAATGTCAGCTGGCAGCTTAGATACAGGCCAGCAGCATCCCTTAACTTCACACCAGACTATGCACAGACAGACCCAAACCTTCCATTTCCCAGTCAGGATACCCCAGGTGCTGGGCAGAGAGTTGAAAACTATCCTACAGCCCTTTGCATCAAGCTGTCCCTAAGTATATGAAATGCTGCCCCAAACAGAAGAAGAGCCAGAAGGCCACCTGCAAAGCAAAGGTGATGCACTACTTACTCTCTGGTTTCCAGTGTCACAATGATGAGGATTGGGCGCCGGTTCATCCCTCCCACGCAGCTACTGTTACACATGAAGTTGTACAAGACTGTTGTGAACTCTGTACCAACCTGGGTGAGACAAAGGAGATGAGCAGAAAAAATGATGTATAGAAAACTCTGCTTTTTCCAGGTTCTCCTCCGGTACTTCCACAGCTGTGTTGCAGACTAGCATGAAATAGACCACACTGCAAGGATTTCTTAAAATAAGTTAAGAACTCCTACTCTGGAAGGATAGAGAGGGTGTTTGAAAGCTCATTTTTGACAAAGAGAAGGAAGAGATTCGTTGGGATGAGGAAAGCACAAGATCCTAACCCCTTCAACTCCCACCCCTTTGTATACTGGGATGCCACCACCCTGAGCTCACAACATACCTGGGGCGGCTCATAGGGGACCAGCACGCTCTGCCTCCCAGTGATGGGGTCTTCTACATACTGGGCGTGGCTGTTCCCTTCCACCCTGATCAGGTGGCTGGGAGGCGCAATCTGCCCTGCAAAGGCAAGGAGGCGAAAAAAACAAGAGACACCATTGAGTGAAGCAAGATCACACACAGGGCAGCAAGATCTTCCACCAAAAGAAACCATCCATCTGTCAGAGAACACATGCCTCCCAGTCCTTGAAGCATTCCTTCTCAAGGTCCCTGCTGCCAGACAACAAAAGCAACAGTCTTTCCCAGGCTCACACTGGATACCTGTGAGTAAATTCAAACATGAGCTTTCATGATGCCAGACTAAGCAAGCCCAAATGTCAACTGAATGGCAGCTCACACCAACTCTTCCACAAGATAACTCCATGTGGATTTTCACACCTGGCGAAAGCCTTTCTTTTCCTTCCCCAAACACGCAAACAAGGCAAATTCCTGCAAGTCTAAATTCCTACCTTTTTCTATAAATTGCTAGCCCTATTCTGTTGTCTCCTGTCAGTCTTGATCCTAAGGAGCTAAAAAAAGATTCAAGTATCAAGATTTCAAAAAGATTTCAAGTATCAAGAGAAATATGCATTTAATTAATGGTCAACTTGAAAAAACCCGCTTGCTTACAGCAGCGGCAGAAGGGAACGCAATCTTCTTTGTTTATAGGCCCCTTTCCAATAATTAAAAAAGCCTGCTTCCTGCAAATTTTCTTCAGTGTTTCTACAATGTATGACTAAATTCTGAGGAGAGAAGCCTATCACAGGTTCATCTCAAGAATTTGTTGTGTTAGTTTCAATTGTTTTGCTCATTTCTTAACCTAAACACATTGTATTTCTAGAGAAGTAATTATTTCAGAATAAAAATTTATAATTTTATTTTTTCTTCATAAAAATTCTATTACTGACCCAGGTATCAACCCTCAAAAAAATCCAGTTCTGTTAGAAAAGCACTTTTTAAAAATGAAAAACTGTTTGAAGAACTGTCCACTTCGCTCTGATTTTGCACTCTTAAGTCCTTGCTTATTTTTGTGCTTGTCTAGATGGCTGTTTTGCAATCAGCAAAGGGATCTGGGCTTCTAAGACATCCTGCTAACTGACACCAACAAGGCTTTTTTTACAGCAGGAGACAAATAATGCACATAGAATAAAACAGATGCTCATCTGAAGTTATGTGAACTTCAATGATCAAGGCAAAACAGAGCCCAGCCTATGAGTTTGCAGAAACCTCCAGGACATCTTTAAAACTGCTGATCCTTCACTAACACAAGCAACATCAAGTAAAAGATTAAAACATTAACACTGAACCAATAGCGTTCAATGTACAGGAAGGTTGCCTACAGTTGATGCTGGCACTTCGTGTTATTCTGCCAGAGATAAACAGCACCTCCGTCTTTGAGGCGTGGATTAAGGGCTGGAGATGATATTGCATCCTGTTACTAGATCCTTGTCCCAGCAACGTGGAAGCTCATTCCCGAACACAGGAACAGCTGCTTCTCATCGCGGGAGCAAAAACAGAGCAGGGAAAGGCTGCCAGAAAGGCATTGCCTGCCATGAGGACAGACATCAATCCAACCTGGGCAGGCGCGAGATTTATTTCAGTACTTTCTTCCCAAGGACGTGCTTGCACAGGGACAGCTAAAGTATAGTATGAAGCTTCCTGCTAAGCATGGGAAATAAAAAGCTGCACAAGATGATGTTGCAGGGCAGCCTGCTTCCAGCAGGTTTGCTGTAAAGCTGCCACCAAATCCCCACACTGGTCGGTCATCAGATGAGCAGCTTTGGAGAGGGACTGCCAACAATGCACTGCCTTCCTTACCTTCGTTGAACTCCCGGCTCAGCTCATGGTTCGGGCAGCGTTTGACCACTTCAGTGACATGTTCAGCTTTCTTGTAGACTGGCATAGCCCTGATAACAGCTCCCTGAGGTGGTGGGGTCATCACTTTGATCTGAATGGGACATGTCTTGGCAATCTGGCAGTACAGCTTTTTCAGTTCAGTGGAATACTGGATGAGGAAACAGAGCAAGAGAGAGTCAGAATGTCCAGCTAGGAATGAATGCATGACAGAAGGACTGAGATGGGTTTGCATATATCACTGAATGCATCAGCTGCTGCATCTGCATTGCATTTGGTCACGCAAAAGCCACATTTCCAGGCAAGTGGCAAAAGCTCTACACCTTTGCCTGGCTTAGAATAGCAGAATATAAATCTACATTTTAGTTTTCCTAAAGAGCATCACTTTTACATGAACAAATAGTCTTTATTACTCTTGGGCACACGTTCACTCTTACAAGAGACACACATTACCTTCCTAACAAAATGGCTACTATTTTCACAGCACACTGTAATCCTGGAAGCCACGCACAAGGTGTTCCATCTTGTTTTGTAAGAAGCCTTCCTGCTTTTGTAGAGAGTTGAAATAAAAACATCAGCCTTCAAGTTGAACAGCACTTGAAAGCAAGACCCTGACCAACCTGGGAGTTGTACCAAATCTGACATTTTAGTCACCTCTTAAAAACATCTTGCACCTCTGCTTACTACTTCTGTAGCAAATCTCCACACTTCTAAACTCAAAATATTATGTCCACAAAAGGTAAATATTATTTTTTTTTTAATAATAGAAAAAGGTGAACACTCCAAAGACCAGGTCCATGGCAAGACCCAGAGCACAACCCAGCAGTTGACTCCAAAAGGGAAGTTGTGACTGTGCAATGAACACCTGGAGCAGAACAAGATGCTCTTATTCACTGTGCTAACTTGAACTATACCTCTTTTAAGACGTTAAGCAGTAACTGGTGCAGCTTTTTCCCCAAAGTGTGCTCATATCTGGAAGACTTTACTCAGCAAAACATCAAGGCATGGGCCAAAGTCATTGCTTTCTGTTCAAACACCCTCACTGAAATAAGGGCGTGTGCTTAGCAGGAATGATTTCCAAGGCAACCCTTATATAGTTCCATAATTCAAACCAATTTTTCTGGATGTCCCCCACAAAGGAGAGTCTCCAGTCTCCTCTGCTGTTCCAGAACACAGTATTTTTCATCAGTGCCCTGTTTCAAGAGGCACTCAGTTTTCTCCAGGTGCTCACGCATTTGCGAGTACAGAGCTCTTCTAGCAATTCTAACCACGTAACCCACAGGAATTGCTGGTATTTCCCCACTTCCATCTCTTCAGTTCTTGCACAGAAAAAAAAAAAAGTGAAAGCCCCAAGGTGGCTGTTTTCTTAAAAAACATCTCTAGCAGCCATGGCTGATACAGCCCCAGACCCAACTGTTCAAACACAGCACTGGCAGGTTCATACTGGTCTAGAGCAAGATGTGGCCATCCTCCCTGCTGGGATGAGAAGAGCCAGCGCATGTATGGGTGGGTGGTGGGTGATGTGGCAGCAGAAGGATTAGCTAGCAATATTCAGGGATTACTTGCATTTCAAAACATACATGTTGCTAACACAGGAAAAACCAAAGTTGGGAGAGACACCAGGGAGGAGAGAGAGATTAAAAATAAGCCAAGCCAATCCCTTCCTTCCTCACTCAACGCCACCCGTTCATATGGCAGAGAGGATGCTACAGGTATTTAAGCTAAGGAAAAAATTCTTTAAAAATGCAAAGGCAAAATTGTGCAATGTATTTTATGTGCCTCCAGGCTACAGATTAAACCCACAAAGGATTTACCCAGCCTGCGGAAATGGGGAACATGCCAAACAATTACAAAAATAAAAGTTGCGAAACAGATCTGGATGGTGGTTTATATCGTACATCTTTTTACCTGAAATTCCTTATGTTTTTTTAATTAAAAAGTAATTCCTTACTGATGGTAAGAATGAACTCACTATGTTGTCTTTTCATCTCAAGAAGTAGGAAAAGAATCACTTAGGTTTAAAAGAAGAAAATTTAGAAAGGATTGTTTCCCTCAACACATCAGCTTGCTAATAGCATTGTGAAGGTTTCAAGGAAAGAAAGCCTTAAAAAAAAATCTCAAAAAGCCACCTAATCACTTGGATGCCTTAATATCATTGAAGTGTAAAGAAATTGGGCACCCAAAGGCCATGGGCTGAAAGGAAAGCATAAATATGGAAGTGCAGTGGCACAGGGAAGGCACAGCACATGCCAGGAACCAAAGTGTCCGGTGTCTGCAGGCATTCGGAGAATTGAACAAATGGAAGGAGATACACACCCCTTCGTCACATATCAGGGGTGTTGGTGTTGACTGTAGTTTTATGTATAACATCTTCAAAGACAAAAGATGGGGTTACAAGTTGGGGGAAGGGAAGTGTCAAAAAAAAAAAACAAAAAACAACACAACAAAACACCAAAAAAAACAACCCCAAAATTACTTTCAGAAGGACAGGAGCCCAACAGCAGCATGAATACTGAGAGTCCAGATCAAACAGTGTGGTCCCTCTGCCAGCAAAGGAAGCAATCTGCTCCTTGTTCACCCTTTGTCACCCTGTCAAACTCCTTTTGCTACAACCACCTTGGAAGGCATCAGATCTGTAGCTTAAATTCACAGAAAGCAAGCAGCTAATGGCTTGTGATGAACAAGCCTGTCCAACAAAGAAATATCCATATATATGTCTCCAAAACACAGGGCAGACTCAACAGCTTCAGTCTCTGGTCAACACACCTTGAACATGGCATGTCAGAAAAGGAGGGTGACCAGGAGCCCACTTCTGCTTTGGGACATGGTCAGGGCACAGGGAAGCAAGCAGCAGTACCCAGCACAGAGACAGACAAGACAGAAGGATGGCTTTGCTGCCTTTTTGTCACCTGATTGCAAGAGGAGTTCAAGCCTCACCGGCACTACACTAGCCTCGGGGACAGGGCATACAGCCATGATTTCACATCTACCACAAGCACAGCCGCCTGCAAGCGTGTAAACACTGAGCAGCCGGTCATTTAACACCCGTGTAAATCCGTTCATGGCGTACCTGCTGTCAGACAGCAAGGGTCTTGAGTTTCCCACCCTGCCAACTTTGCTGCAACCACAGGTAACCCGACACCCAGCCATTTATTGGCATAAATAGATGCCAACAACTAGGTCATAGTGACTTGTACTGGATCGGTGATAATCGCTATATCCACAGCGCAAGACAGTATATTGTATATAGATTTCAAAGCAAATAAGCTGCAGAAAAAAAACAAAACAAAACCAAACCCAAAGCCGAGGCAGGAACTGTCTGTGCATTCAGAGAGTGCCTGCAAGCAAGGGTTGCCTCTCTTGGCACAGGTGCCTCTCCACATTGGTCGCCAGTCCTGCAGGAGATGACAATCCCCCTGCCCACCATTTTGCTATGGGAATTGAGAGATGCTCATTGTCTAAGGGGCAAGAACACAAGATGAGTAATTCCCAGAAAACTGGAACATGACTGTAAATCAATGCACTTCTGTTACTTGCTTGGATAGGAAAACAAAAATACCAAAAATGAGCTTGACTCAATCAACAACCCTATAATTCAGCAAGATGACAATAGTCATTATAGGGCAGCAGGAACAAAACTTGTGCCAACAGCCTGAGAAGTGCAAACACCACTTCTACCAGATATAAAGACCAGAAGGCTGTTTAAAACAATAGAGTGGATATTGGCAACGTGTAACCATTCAAGAGGGAGAGGAAAGAGCTTTGGCTCAGACTTCTCTTTGGTGTTCAAGTACTGTATGTCATGCCCAAATAAGCAGACTTCAAGAGATTGTGAAGAACAGCAGTGAACTTAGCTTTTTTGCTTAATAGTATGTCTTAAAAGGAAAGAATGAAACATTCCAGTGCCTGCAGCTTTGCCCTCCCCACCTGCCTGTGCAGACATACTGTATTATCCACTGTTGGCACTCTGGCTGGTAATTCAGTATCACAATGCACACATGCCAGCTACCATCAGGCAACACCTGTCTGATTTCTCAGCAAGCCCCTTCTCCAGAAGGTGTGTCAACAAGGGGCTTAAAGAAGAAAGCAAACCACTGTTCACCTCTCAAAAGGAGAATTTTTGCTGGAAAGGACAGAAGCCTCCTGAAAGTAACTGCAAGGTTCATATCAAGCTGCAATGGCTTTTCACTGAGAATTCAATTTACCTGCGAAACTTTGATGCAGCAAAATCCCCAAAACTGTGCTTTGGAAATCTACCTCTAGTATCTGTTTTGCCATCTGGTCTAGCTGAGGGATTACAGCCCGTAAGTCTTTAAAAGGAGTGGGGTTTAGTCAGCTCTATGAATGCTGATGGATGTCAACTTGAAGGTGATCCCAGAGGTTGGCTTATGGCATGACAGCTCCCTGAGCCCCTTCTGCTTAGATCAACAGGTCTTTCAATCTTTTGCAAACTTCTTTCAAGTAGTCACGTTTTAGTTCAACCCAGTTAAACACTAGATTCATTTTACTTGATGTGTTTAAAGCCATCAGTTTGTTATGCTTTCTTTCCTATCAACTAACTCCAAGAGGGGGGAAAAAAGAACTAGTTAGAAGAGTGGGGAAACAACATTTACTTGCACCAAAATGGTCACAGATGGGAACAAGGAGAGTGACAAAGAAACAGAAAATCTCCTGCTTAAGGTTTATTCATTCAGGAGAAAACAGGTAGTGGGGAAAAAAAAGGAAGCTACCTACTAAGAATAAGACCTTAACACATTTACACCTGAACCTTAAATGTTTTTGCTTTGATGAACAGTGATTTGCCTTTTCATTCACAAAAAAACTGTTGAGGGTATGGGAGGACACCAGATACCAGTGTCTGCACATGCACACACAGGCTTAGGAACTGACTTGTACAGAAAGGACACTCAGCAGGGAAGCGCAAGAGCAGCTCTACCAGGAGTGCTGCAGACACAGATGTCTCCTAGGAGATTATGGCTCCGCACAACCTTAACCCACCACTTAGCCAATTTATTCTAACTCCAGTTTGAGGTGCTCTATCTTGTCAGGCTTCAGAAAAAAACCAGTTTGCTGCTAGTGGACGTAGCAGATATTCAAACCACGGGCATGACTGACAGGTTCAGTGATCACCAGCCCCAACATGCCTACAGA